GACTATCCTCACCTGAAAGTAACTATGACACTGCCACCAAGCCGAAATAACGTATAACTCTGTACCCAAATCTAAGAGCATTTATCAAATATCTCCAGGAATTCCACTCAACTGCAAGACGATTTTGCATGGATCACTCAGCACATAGATTTGTAAAGTTATGGTCCACTTCCTTATTAGTACTATTATGATAAAAGACCTAATCCTAACATTGCAGATATGTCATGATGTGACTACCTAATCCACGAGATCCTACATGGAAGTTTGATCATCGTCTAAACTGACTCATCGTATTGTAACTATTTTAGTGCCGTTGTTTGATAAACGTTCACCGCGATAACCGTTATAATACAAATCTTATAGGTGCATAAAATCAGAAGGCAAAAAGAAGCGGTAGCTACGGTTTCATTGACAAATGACGCAGGCCAGAAAGTTATAAGCACATGAGCGAATATCAGCGAGAGAAGCAAATATGGCATGCATTGGAAATGGCGGGTAAGCCAACTCCTTTTATCAAGTGTAACTCAATATTTATAGTCCGATAAAAATAAATAAAAGGCATGTGATAAATGGTGTAAGAAGTGTACACACACCTACGCTCATATAAAAATGGTCAGGGTTATTAAGTGAATAATTGACAAGGTCAAAACATGACTCATGATCGGTAGACTAATTGGCTTGTCCAGAAACATGAATAAGCTATTTAGGTGTAGCATAGTACACGACGTTACACTTTTCCCCACACTATCACCAATATGTTTGGCATTTCTTGAGAACACATTTAGGCTGAAGATAGAACAATGTATTTAATATGAATAAAAGTGGTAAGTTACGCAAGATTAACCACGCCTGCATGGCTGAGCAATGTCATCTGATCGATTCTCGAATGAATGTTCCCTCGTTCAGTATTTTGAGTCCTTTCTCTATGTTAAATGTTGAATATCTATTTTCTCAGTTGTCTCAAGTTCAGCTTTGAGGATTGTGTGGTTCGTATCAATCTCACTACAAATTTATGTCTTCAAAAACTATCAACATGTTATGAATATATCCCACACCCAATTTCATTCATGTGTTCATAAATAAATAACAAAAGACATAAAATCCCCCAATCACCAACCGTTGTGGGTCATACCATTAGACACCTACTTCTTCCATCCAATTCAGAGTTTTGTCAGCGTTTGAAATTCACTTATTTTCTTCTATGAAGCTGCATATAATTGTTTAGGTTTTTATTTTAAGTAGACACATAACCCACCAAACATATGGATACTGCCTGACCATTAAACATCTTGAAAAATTCATGCCATCATGAACTACTATAAGTTCTTGGTACAAATCCTACCGGCTTAGGAAGTTTAATATTTCGATTTTATCAGCATTCAAATGCTTTTTGCTTACTTCTTTATCTCTTCGTCCATGGAATCCACAATCCTAAGCTCTTTTTTGTTATACCTTGTGAAAATTAAATTTCGGACAACTTCTGAGGACTGATAATGCACTAATATTTTATATATATTCTCATTATATAACTGTTCAGTAACTAAGCTACGTATATCTATATTCCCCTTATTATAAGCTCTATTTTGACCTATAGACCATTATGATACGATTTACCATTCTTAAATTATACTCGATTTATTAATTACAGTCTCTCACGGACGTAGCCACTTTTTGGCTTGATCTTGCATGAATATTATTTCCTATTTTATGGTGTGATGCGGTCTAATTGGCTGGTACATAAACCAAGTATGTTTGAAATATGTGATTCGCATGGTGGAAGCTGGTATTGGCGTTCTGTGTTCACTTGAAAGGGCTATGAGAACAGTGGATAAAAAAGAATGCTACGTTGCTCATACCGGTCAAACGTCATTGGTTTGGCACAGCACTTAGTTTTTTTAGGTCGTATTTCGAGTGGCGAACAAATCACGTGATAAGTATTCGGACTTCAGGTTACAACACTTTTATTTCGAGCTTCCGTATTACCTATTTATCTCTACAGTTTTCGAACAACCGATAATCTTATCAGTGCCTTATAGCTTATACCGTTAGTTAACTTTGCATCAGCTTGACACCCCAGAAAGATATCTAACCTATAATAAAGGAGGTATAGCTATCTAACTTTATCGTAACATGGTACCAGTACATATGATGTTATAACAAGGTATGTAATATGGATCTTATGCTAAAGTACACCAAGACATACTACAACTAAAAGAGAGACTAATGTTACAAAATGGAGGAAGGTGACGTTCATGACTATCAAAAATGATGATAGGACGATAACCTCAATCCACCCATGTCTGTAGGCCAAAGCATTTTAACTGTTTCCAGCTTCTTGCGGTCTAGTTAAAAGTAACTGGTCAGTATTATTACTGCTACTTTCCCACAAAACTACCTTCTTGTCTCATTCTCGTAAATTTGAATTAAGTTACTACCAAGAAATCTTACTACAGGCTAAACTGGATTCGTCGGTAAAAAAGGAGCTCACTCATGGCCTCTAAAATATGAATACTAATAATGATAATATATCGTCAAAAAACTAAAAGCTATTTAATTATCCAAGCATTGTATTCGTCTCACTACATTCTAAGGATATGCATAGGCTTAGTCTGCTACCAATCTTTTAAATTTCCTCCGTTCGCATTGAAGATACCGCCAGTATTGTAGCTCGACTACTCTTTACCAGTAACATCTATAATCGAATCGCACCCACTCAATTAAAATCAGAAATGAGAAGCGAGGTGGTTGGAAGATATATTTGATGGGTTATCAATATATCGAGAAGTGACTTATCTAATCTGTCTACTGATCGTAGGAGATGCTTCCCACGCCGTTCTGTAATGTGATCTGGTACGGATGCATGACCGAGCACCTTCAGCCAGATGTGTCTAGTGAAACTAATGAGTTCAGCATCAATGTCGATAACTTATAGAACTGTTTATTTTGGAAACTTATTTATTGCTACAACAAAAATAAGATTGATCTGTCTTAGAATTCGGGTTGGCTCATCACTCTGTTGGAAGTTTCGAATTTACTGAACAGTCGTGCTTTGAAAAAGGCCAGAATCGTTAACTCGAACATAAAAAGGTGTACAGAAGAATGTAGTTTGACGTAATTAGTTGAACTTTGGTTTTTCTTGTCGACCTCTGTGTTTAGACCAAATATTAGAATTTTGGTATTTACGCATCTTGGAGAAAGTCTACCGCTCCCAAGTTCGCCCGGAGTAAGCACTTGGATTGAAGAGAATGATGTCTCTTCGACAACACAGTTACTACTCATAATATGAAGCGTCACACAACTCGGGCACTTGAGAAATTATTTGATATAATCGTTTCATCTCCATTTATGAGGTCCTTAGAACGCAATAACAAGCTGTCGCTTAGCTTAATGAAGCAAGAGAAAGATATATCACTGAATATTCTAGGTCGTAGAATCTCACCAGCTCCCAGAACTCATAATGACATTGTTTAGGTAATAGCTAAAAATTCCCAATTTAGTTACTACCACCATTTACCTCTCCGTTTACACACACTACTGTTACATTCGTTCGCACAGCTATATAAATATCGGGGGGTTTTTTATCTCTTAAATTCATAAAATTATGAAGCTCTTGTGAACACTTGGATCTAACATAGCTAACAAAGAGCTCAGAGTCCCAAGGGGATGTGGCAACTTACTCTGCTACTTCCTTGATATTCCTTTAACATTTGTTGTGGCGGAAACAACACTGATTCCCAACGAAGCCGAGCGTAAACTAACTTAAAAGATATGAGTTTCCGAAAATTTATCCAGAGAATATAAAGATTTGGATAGGGACTAGATCAAAATGGTAAAGTCTCTAGAAGAAAACTCTAATAGGATAGACTATTGGATAAAAAAACTTCCTCCCTCACATTATCAGATAATGTAGTATGCTGGTGGAAAAAATAAGTTATAATTTTTCGATCTAGAAATCTTCGAAATATTCCTATATTACAATCTCTGTAACTGAAAAAAAACTTGGAAGTCACATTTTGGGATTTTTACAGGGTCACTTGAACTGCAACTATCTTAAACCTTTAAATGTTCACTAAAGATTTTATCTGGAAAACCATTCACACGTTTTGCTTCTTTACATTGATCAGGACATTTCTCTCATAAACACGTGTTCGTAAAAAAGCAATTACAAAAGGACTCGAACTAACAATAAACCCTATTTAGCTGACCTGTAGGCTTCACTTTTATAGTAAAAACAGTAGAAAAGTATTTGCAGGGTGTGGTCATGATATATCATACCGTTTTTAGCCATCAAACCAACAGAGTACAAATACATTTCACTACGGGGATATTCGAATCAAACAAGAATGAACCCACACAAACTTCCATGGAAATTTTTTAAATCTGAGTCAGTGAGTTATGGAACACCCTAACAGAAGCCAGAGCGACCCAATCTTTTGCTGCATCCACCATAAGAACGGTGAATGACTACATTATTTCCATAGACACAGAAAAAGATTATTCAGGTTGTCATTTGCCAATCAATTTTATCATAACGTGTTCTACTCCTCCCTCCACAAAGACCGTATACCTAAGACACTCCCCTTTTTTCAAGATGCAAACTTAAGAAAACAAAGTTCGAATCATCGTGAGACATTTTCGTAACATACTCCAGTCATATAGAGTTTCACTAATGTCCATGGTTTTTGATGAGCTTTAGTCTATAAGAGTCACTGAATTATTCCAACAAATTTTCAGAAATAATAGGGTCTAGTACCTAATGATATCAATATCTATCTCACGTCAGAAGCGAAGAAATCAAATCAGTCTATCAACTCAGGTCCACAGAAGTATCAAAACATTGTTTTCGATGATTCCACGCATTTCAAACTACTTGATGTAATTTATATTGAAATATAAGGAACATTCTTTTCTATTTTCCTACTTGAGGAAGAATAATCAATTGTATACTGAATTTTGTTTTAGCGTATTTTATAGTAGTACAATGGCGAGGTTCGCCATTAGATTTGTCTTTGAAGACGTTGGTGCACGCCTGTTAACCTGTCTCAGATGGAGTCTGTCGCTGCACACAAAGATGAGGTCGTAAGTTGCTTTAGTTTATTTTTTTCTATGATAAGACTCACGTTGAGTCGAAAATTGAAGAGTTGAAAAGAAAGTCTGTGGATCTCAAAGATGTTGCTGATCATGAAGCTAAGAACGGTAATGACGAGCCAGTTGTCAAGAAGATAAGGAAAGGTTTGCATTCTGTTTTATTAGGTATTAAAACCTAATATGTAGAGGCCGGTGACACCGATGGAGACGAAAAGGCTCACAGTCCAGAGAGTAGATCGGCTGAGGCTGAGTTGGATGAAGACGGTACCGAAGGTAAGTTAGTTTACTCTCTGAAGTACGTGCCATATACCTTCAACACTCACAATGACTTTCGACTTATATACATTTCTTAGTTACATAAGTTCTGTAATTTATGCTTTTAGACGATGCCTCACAAGACACCAAAGGCACTAATGGGACAAGTAAGTGTTGTGTTTGTGTGATCACTTCTTAGGCGAACATGTGAACGGCAGTAACGGCGAACATGTCGGTGAACATCAGAGTGAAAGTAATAGCTTATATTTTCATTGACTTGAGTTTCAGAATCAGACAACGGGTCCGATTCCGATTCAGAAAAGGGTGATGCACCTTCAGTCGACAAGGAGTCGAACGAAGAGGCCAGTGATTAACCTCTGCATTTTTATGCACTCCAGGCATTTATGTCTTTTTGTAACATTTTTATCGATTTTTATTCTAACCCGGCAGCTTTTGCACAAGTTTATTATTCACTTATATCTAATATAACAGATGTTCGGACTCAGTGTCTTTTATTATCCCTGACTGGGGTCGGTCTTTTCCCGAATGCTATTCCACATGATCGTGCATGCAGCCAATTTATCTTCCAATGTAGCCGTGCTTAGGTTTTAATGCACAATCAGTCTCACTTTCATCCACCACTGACGACTTGTAAGAGCTCGCCCTTTCAGATTTGTCATGTACGGTCCGTACTAAGTCAGGCGTCTCGTTTCAGCACCTGGCGATTCCTTAGTGGGTTGGGCTGGGAGTGAGTCTGTGTTTCTCAACAGTTAAAAACTAGCTATTAACTATGGGGTCGTTATGCTGTACGTCATAGTTCACTTAGGCGAGAGAAGCATATTGGTTTTGTTGCGTAATTTTAGTTTCTGGAATTCGGCGTACGACTGTAAGTATACTTCGTCATAAGGCAGGCTATGAAATTGCAGGAAGCCATAAAGAGTGTGGTGATTAGTATTTCACCCTCGTTCCGTAGGGCTTGAATGTGCCTGGTAACTGTGCGGATTGTATGGGTTCCACGGATTCAATTTACCATCCCTAGTTCAAGCGCGTAGGCTTCCTTGTCGAACGTTCCTCTGGAATAAGCTGCTGACCGAGTTGTTTATTGAACTAAGTGCTCACTAAAGATATAATCGTTGTAATGTCATACTCTGCTTAGGTGTTTTTGTTTATTGGATGTGGAGTGATCGCGTACTGTATTTGTCAGTAGTCGGACTCTGTAGGACTGTCGTCGTTCCGCAGTTTGAAGACGTATTTTACGGTGACTTGCGGAAGGTCGCTTTTTCATGGCGAGAACCGTCAGAATAGTGTTCCACTTTTTTCTCAAGCAGGCTATTTTATGATCGTTCTGAAGTTCACAACGTACAGCAAAAAGATACCTGTTCAATAGGGCACGCGAACCAAGACTTTGTTCTGACAGGAATTGTGCTGAGATTAAGCTAAAAGAATTCTACGTTAGGATTGTGCAGGAAATTCAAACGCTGAAATTTTTCAGTAGCAAAGACATGATCACGTCCGAAAATGTTGCTTGTCCCAACGGGTCCCAAAAAGTATAATAGGATTTGTGCTGTGCACAATTTAATATAAATACACTAAATTAGTATACCGAACACTAGCCTGAGTATGATACCTCGAAATTCAATAAACGTAGACGTTCTGGCTAAACGGTGAGTTGGGTGTTTGAACTCAGGTTTGACAGCATAGGAATGTAATTATTGGCAATGTACTTGAAAATTCTACGGGATTTTAACGGTCTGATTTCCAGACATTAGTACCAGGTTTGGAGATTGTGCCTTTCCTTAGGAAAGTCTTCAGGGATATTATGCAGTGTAACGTGTATAAACTCACCGTTATGAAGCTAAATCTTTCTGTCTCCAAGGTATCTAGGTTCGGGTGCATCTACATCTTTAATGGGAGCCTTAACATTGCTTTGTTAGCTTTGATCTTTCTGTAAGAACTACTTATCATCAACATACCAGTCAAACCTTATTCAAGGAGACTTTTGTCACTGCAGTTCAATTTGCTAAAGACTAGGTATTATCAATGTCGGCTTCCGAGATGTTTCATGTAACTGGGGCAGACCAGCCATCTTTGGCGACAGTTTGTAAGGCGATGTATAGCTCTAGTTATCTTAAGGCTGATGTAGCACACTCTCACGGCCTAGAATAATTTACGGTAATGAGCTGATGGCACTGAATCTTGGTTTTGCTTTACGCTTTCATTGAAGTGGTGTTCAAGAGTAAATATACTCATAGCTTCAACTATATTCTGATCGAGTGGTTTTGTTCAGTCCTCTATGGGTGCACTAAAGTCCCCCAAGACTGAGCATCTCACGGCAGATCATTTGTGAAGTTCCTCTAGCAACAAATGGTTTGCTTCACAGTCGCCCAGATCTGTACTGAACTCGTATTCAGCACATTTCGTGGTTTAAGTAATGACTAGCCACTTCACATACTCCAATGAAACATTCTCGTTAACAACAATCTGTGTCTTATTTTTGGTAGGAAGTAGTACAGGAGGATTCAAACTATCAATACAAGATGAAGTAAACTTCACCATTTTGCATAAGCTAGTGGTTATATGGACTCAGTAGCTAGGTGAGTAACGCGACGGCGTTTGGAGCGAAACGTACTATGTTCAAGTCCCGAGGTAAACATACAGCTGACGAGTCCCGAACAGGGCGAAATGCGCGTCTTGGATTTCACTGCGAATCACCATCTGTCTCTGTTTATTTTTAGTTCCGTTTGCCTTAACTCAGCGGTGTAATAAATTACTTCTGTCCGTAGTTTAATTCTTTTGTATCTGAATGTTATACTAATTAAACACTTAACCTTTCATATTCATGGTCTAAGAGCATATAGAAAGGGAATGACTAGATAATCAAGAAATATTCTTTAGTGAATCAATTTAACCTATCCATTTCCCTCATTTTCTTCATTTATGTCAATTGAAAGCAAGGTTATTCTTCGAAGTGTCAATGCACAACTTCTAGTGATTCATCACTGGTCAAAGTTCAGACTGAAATTTGTACATTAAGTAACGTCTAAATATTCTCGTTTTATCATGCTATGAATGCATGAAATTGAAAATGTGAACCACCAAGTCCCAGGTCAGTAGTGTTAAGATCATTAAATCTTGAGTCAGTTCATGATTACAGTTATGGATATACAGTACAGTAGAGTTATGGACTATGATGAAGCGACTCCTACATGCTTCGTAGTTTTAAATGGTCAGTATTGAGAAATTATCATGTGAATAAAAATAACATAATTCGATATCAACTACGTTTGTGGAAGATTACAGCAAATAATTTCATCTAAATAACAATCAGACTTATCAAGATAGATGAGGATGGTCAGGTCCGTAGGATTTTTTGTCAACAATGTTCATTGTACGTAACCTTTAAAATTGAAATTTTCTAATCTAATGATCGTTGTTTCGGTATTTGTCGCACTAATAAAATTATATCAACATCTATTTGTTATGTTAATCGAAGTAACAAGGGGAAGAAATTTGAACTCTCACTTTGACCTAATTTTTCGGAATGTTCGTGTTTATTTGTTAAGAATGTCAATCCAACAGGGGATAGACAATCAATGGTTTGTATTGTTTTTTCACACAAACGAATTACGTAATAAAATCGTATTGATTGATTGTGTCTTCCAAATGGCTATAATGATTAGTCGTGTAATCAATTCTTTCTACTGAGGACCTATTACGTAGTAAACAGTTTTATGTGGCAAGAATAAAGATTGAATATGTCAAATAGAAGTTAATAAATTCATCAGTCAGTACTATGATAGAATAATATGTTTGGTTGTGAATGTATTATGACGGCTGTAGTTCTCAAATAATAATACTTTGACTATGAGAGAAGAATCCTCCATATGGTTACCCATTTTGAGCAGTTTGCTCGACATCAGTATTTTGAAATTTTAGAAGGATCTTCAATAGTGGCTAGCAGTGAAAATCAGTAGGCGTTCACTCATGTAGCAATATGTATTTGGTTGGAGCAGTGCGTTGATCATTAAAATAAGGTTGCATGGTAAATCTCATTCGAACAATATGAACCATAAATTTGTATTCTTGGTGTGACGAAATATTAGAAATCAGAACCTGAAATGTATAAGATTTATTTTAGCTAGTGAAATGAAAGTTAATAAGACTGGATTCAATAGTAGTTCGCATCATTGTACAAATTATTTCTGACTTCAGCTTTATCAATTCATCTACAACCTGAGTTCATCTGATTTCGAGACAACTTATTTATGCACGTCGTTGCAGATACAAATGATAACGTAACAAATTCGAACTATGCCTCAGGTTTTATATCTTCATTTTCTTAATACCTCGTTTAAAGTGGTTAAGACGTGTTCACGGTTGACATTAAAATTTGCGTACGAGCATCCGGACTGGTAGTTCTAAGTTCTATCTCTGAATATCTAAAAATGTAATGAGTAAAACTTTACAAGCAGAAACAGTATCCAAATATGAGAATTAACGTATCCAAGTAGTACATCTGCATTATGCGCAGGCACAAAAACGCATTGAGCGACTTTTGACTTAAACAGTTAGCCTGATAAACAAAAAAATATCCTTCAACAAATTATTCACCATCATTTATTTAATGAAAACATAGGTTGCTTAACAATTCTCAAACTTTTAATCTGAATCTGATCACTGAGGTCAACCATCGTTGAACAAAGGAAATGACCATTTTTTTCTAGAATTACTAGTAAGTAACAAGTACTCTGTTATATCATCTCAGTCAGTCAGTCACAACGTAGAACTTCGTACGTACGTACATCAGTTCGAGTTGCCATACCACATTAGCACAGAGATGCAGTTGTCGATTCAAATCCCATAGTGGTAGAAGTAGTAGGAGTATAATCAGAAATCCAAAAGATTAGGGTTTGAAGAAATTATTGAAGGAGTATAGTACAGTGAAATAAATTTGGAAAGAGAAAAAGATAAAGACATGAGGAATTCAGAAGATTAGAATTTGGTAGAACACAAAGACTGGATACACCTTCGCCATTGCAAACGATTTTGAGCCATGTCATTCAAGGTCTCTAACCATTGGTTGCTGTCATCTCGCGAATCCCAACCAGGTAGTCTACACCTACCAACATGGCCCAGTCCACTTGTCAGTGACTTCATTGATTTGTGCCACGTTTTGGTCTGGCCTCCCCTAGCTTTCTTCCAACCTACTCCTACACCATGAAACATTGCACGTCGGGGCAGTCGGTGGTTGGGCATACGTAACACATGTCCCAGCCATCTCAACTGATGAAGTTTCACTACTTCATCAATCGATTTGCCATCCCTACCTAGTACTCGTTTCCTAACAACTGTATTACTTACCCGGTGGTCCCAGGATATACGGGCAATGCTTCGAAGACACCTATGATCGAACACTAGTAGCCTACGAATATCCTCTACTCTTATTGGCCATGTTTCACTGCCATAAAGTAGGACGGAGCGAACTGCTGCACAGTAAACCCGTCCTTTGGTTGCTAGACAGATATCTCTCCTACGCTATAAATGACGCAAGTTGGCGAAAGATAGACGAACATTCTGTATCCGTGCTGAGATCTCGTCACATACCAGACCACAAGGGCTGATGAGACTCTCAAGATAAGTGAAGTGGTCTACACGCTCAACTACTTCACTCCCTATCATTAGTTCAGGTGTCGATGCAACCCAATCCTGAAGTAACATTTTAAACTTCGAGGGAGAGAATCGCATCCCGAACATGCTTGCATAGTTGCTTATAGTGGTCAGAAGACTCTGCATGTTGTCAGCGTCTTCACCGAGTAAAACTATGTCGTCGGCGTATTCGAAGTCAACAAGTGAGCCTCCTGGTAAAAGTTCAACTCCTGGAGGTTTAGCTGATGAAAGTGCTATCTCTAAAAGTATGTCAATGACAAAGTTAAACAAGAATGGGGAGAGTGGACAGCCCTGACGAACGCCACTTGTGGTAATCAGTTCTGATGACAGTTCGCCATAGGCTCTAACTCGACCAGTTGTGTTCGAGTAGAGAGCCTTTATGAGGTTAATGTACTTCTTTGGTACTCCTTTCAGTGACAAACATTGCCATAGAACCTCACGATCAACGGAGCCAAATGCCGCCTTAAGGTCAAGAAATACTACTATTGTGGGACGTCTGAATTTGTGTCTATGTTCTAGAACCTGACGTAGGGTGAATATCTGGTCTATGCAACCACGTCCAGGTCGAAAACCAGCCTGGTTTTCTCTAGTCTGCTCTTCACGAGCTTTGGTTAGGCGACCTAGTATTATTGAAGCTAATATTTTAGACACTATATTAGTCAAACTGATCCCTCTGTAATTGTCACAAGAGGACTTTTATCCTCATCTACTAAGTAAATATATTTATATTTGCACCCACGATAAAAAGAATTGTTTTAGCTCGTTACTTTTGAATGCGTATTTTAATCACATGTTCAGTTATATGCAATAAATAAAAGAATTCTTGACGATTAGATTTAAAAGATCTACAAATGGTATTGTTGAGAATATAATAGTAATTTGATTAAAAATTTATATGTACTCTGTTTCCCTCTATTTGTTGCTCTTTTTTTTCAAATAAAACGCTGAGGTTTTGAGTGTGAGACTTTTCACAAAATGTTATCAAGAAAATATTTTACGTATAATGCGCTTTCATGATGATTCTGTATACATTCTTCAAGTTTTGAATATGGTATAGCATTTGTAATGGATAGTGAAGACTCTCTGATAGAAGTAGGTTTGTTTTAACTATATGAATGGTATCCTCATATACATACGGGTGAGGACGCTATTCCATGAGTGGGAAAGAATTTCGTAGAGTTAATATCAGTTGATTCAGTTCATCAAACTCCTTTTATGATTGCTATAGTATTTTTCCCAATACATTGTTTCATAATATAGGCGTCCGGATTATCACATTAATCGATGGGTCCCAGTCATTTATCAATGAGATTTTTCTTTTAAATTACAGAACAACCTATGTGTTTCTTCTTCTGTTGAAGGATTCCTACCCCAATCTAATTCATATGAATAAAATTATTAAGTCCTAGGACAATTGGTTCATTGAAGGCAATTCCTTTCGGTGATTTCACTATCAAAGCTATTCAGTTACATGTATATTGAATTGAGTCAAAGAAATAATTTGTGCATTCAAATATTAATCACAGATAGTGTGTGTTTGGCAGTTGTTTTATCATACTGTGGGGCCCATCAATAATACATACTTACGACTGAGTCAAGTTACTAACTGCCAACCATCAGGCCTAATGTTGGTCATGCTTCTGTTAGACCACTAAGGTTACATACAATTGTTAGCATTTCCAACTCCTTTCATTTCTAGGTATACTGTGTCTGTGAACATAGTACGTCTCCTTCTCAACATAAATAAATTCAGACGGTTATGATTTCAGTTTCAGTTTGGAAAGGACAGGAGTCTTGATGGCCTGTGCTAGTCCTGGCAATGATGGTCTCCCAGTTGATCCAATTTTCTTTTGAAAGAGTCGACGGATGGAGCCTCAACCACGTGTTGAGGTAATGAATTCAACTCGTTGATGATTCGGTGGGAAAGTCGATAGTCAGCTGACAAGTAATTCGTTCTGGGCTTGTGAACTTTTTCGGAGTGCCCTAGCAAATTTTCTGTTTTGGAAGACAAGAAAAATGAGGGCATATGAGGTGCGAATTTATCACTAAGCAATTTGAAACTGTGATCAAGTGGCCTTTGGTTCTTCGATATGAGAGCGGGAATATGTTTAGCTTACTTGGTCTATCATCATACAGGAGCTCCGCTATTTCAAGAATCAGCTTAGTTGCTGTTCTTTGAACCCTTTCCGAAGGCTCACTGTATTTCTTTAGGCAGGGGCAAAGTCAGAAACGTTTTAGCGTCGATATGACTAAAA